TAAAGTCCTGCAGTGATGAATGGTGGCAGGAAGGGAGTAGCTCTCTCTGGTAATCAGTGAAAATCTTTAGGCAGCAACCTAGACAGAGGCTAGCCTAATTGGAGAAGAATTTGAAAACATTTGACACCTTCTACCGCAGTTGGCTGCATTCCTCTGGAATAAGCAAGCTGAATGCTAGAGCCAGGCTTAAAGAACCGTCTGGCATGCTGGAAGGATACCATTACTGCCCTTTCCATGGAGGGAACCAAGACCACGGTACCCATAACCATATTTAAACACGCAAGTTGCCAAGTAGAGTTATTCTTACTCCTCTCTTTCCCCAGGCTAATGACATGATCCTGATTTCAAACTATCCTTCCCAACCTAGATTACAAATCTGCTTAGTGACCCCCCCTGTCTCTGCACAAGTGCTACCATAGCGAATGCAGTTCCAACCCTAGGCGATACAAGGCTTTAATTTAGAGACCAGTTGTGCTTGAAAAGATGTTGTGGGTTGAGTTTCTGTTTTGTTCTTGAAGTAGGGTGTGTTGGCAATACATAAGAGATTACAGCATATTCGACATTACTGTGACATCGCAGTTCAATTCCAGTACCTTTCATCACCAATACAGCTGACAGCAAAAAAAAATAATAATCTGTTTTCTTTGTATTTTAGGACCATTTCTAATAATTGCCAAGCTTTCCATGACACTTTTCTTAAGGCAGTGTGTTTCACACACCGTGCACTGCTGCTGTACAATCATAGAGACTGTTCAAAGGAGCTAGACAGAGTGCAACCACTAAGCTCCTCCATTTCAGCATATTGCTGATAGTCTAACCACCAACTTTCTACCTTCATATTCTTTGTTTCCCAAGAGCCCCAGAAGCTCCTGCTGTTTATTTATTATCTGAAGTTACTGCACTGTCTGCTCAGTCTCATTTACAACGATGCTATGAGGACTGGCAGAAACAGTTTGCATGTAGGAAACAACTTAAATTTGTGTCAAAACATCCTGGGAAGTAAAGAAGAATACAGGAAAGAAATGTCTAAAAACAATGAAACAGAAGGAAAAAAAACCCAAATTATTACCTTTTCAGAGATTTAGATGAGGTAGAGGAATTCATTCCAGGATTTCACATTAGATTGCATTTACATAGAAACTTTTACTGTAAGTACTAAACACACACAAAAGAAAAACACACAGGACCATTGCTGACTAAGATTCTTGCTGAGTGACAACCAAATTATTATGAACCAAGAGACAAGGTTCATAATAATTGGCTTTAAAGATGGATTTTAAAATAAGAAAATGAAAGAAAAGGTGGTGAAAAGGAAGGACATTCCAGATATTTGGGGCTACAGGGGAGGAAAAAAAAAGACAATTTTTAGAAACAACAAGGAGATACTAACAGGGATCAGATAGGAAGGTGAGGGAAAACAAAGTAGAGGATACAGCAGTTCAGGCATTGAAACAAGTGTAAGATAAGTTTAACAGACAACATGAATGATGGGAATCCCATGAAGTGAAGGAAGGAACAACACGAATGGTTAGGGGGAAAAATTGTAAACTAGTTGCTCGGTACTTAATCATCTAAGATGTGCAAGCTGAAAATATGGAAAGAGTAAATCAACAGCAATGTAGCAATTAAGGCACAAACAAGCAGCTCAAGGTGAGGAGATTTACTAAAGGATAAGTAATAAGCCTGTGGGTGTTTAGGAGGTGATCTCACTGGTTACATTTTGTAGGTAAGAGTGGGTAGAGTTGCTGGGCTGAAGTTCACTTCAACATCTAGACTGAAGGCAACATCAAAGAGTGAAAACAATGGCAGCTGAGCTGAAGGAAGAACATTCATCTTAGTCATACTGAATTTAAGGCAAGTGACTCTCAGCCAAGTGGAAACAGAATTGAGGCAGGTAGAAAAAGAATTATGGATAGAAGGAAAAGGAGAAACACCACTGAATGTCACCACATAATTGGTCTAAACAGAGATAAATCACATTGTGTAAGGGCTATAGTAAAAACAGAAGTAGGGGGTAGAAGAGGATTCTTTTGGACACTCATTATTAGAAAGCAAAAAGCAGAGAGATGAGCTCAGGTTACCCTAACACATCAACCAGGTAAGAAGAAAGTCTCTGCAGTGCAGTGTCAGGAAGGCATATGATCAGAAGCAAAGCAAAGAATATTGCAGTGACCAACTCTCATCTGAAGTTAGGGACAGAAATGAAGCCTTTAGTTCCAGTTTAAATAACTGGAAATGCCTGTAGTCAGTCAAGTGACGAGAGAGAAATTTGAACCGGCAAGGCACAGAAAGAGCATGCTGAGCGAATTACGTGCAAATAAGAGAACAAGCTTTTACTCCAACATTTTAGAAAGCAATGCAGGATGGTATATGGGGATACAGTTGGAAGAGAGGGGAGAAGCAACAGAAGGCTTCTTAAGAATAGCAAAAACAATAATCCAAAAAGAGGAGGAACTGTGCCTAAAAAGAGAGAAGCATTTTCAGTGGCCAAAGTCTTGGTTCAGGCAGTGGAAAGCAGTTTTAGTCACAAGGCTACACTCAATTATAAGAAATTATAGAACTTTTTTTTTTTCTACTGAATTTTCAGAATCTTGCTGGATTTGGTTGGTTCCCAAATAATCTCGAGTGCCTGTGATTAAATTCCATTTCACTCAGTTGGTGCCATCCCTGGATGAATCTGAACTAGAGACCCACAGGCTTACTGATTAGCCATTAAGCCCCTAATTATCTGAAATGCCTGAATAAAAATCTTGAACCATCCCACTTAAAAACATGTGGTTCAGTGTCCAGAAACTCTTGTTAAATCATTTGCATAATTTACGAAAGTGTCAGGTATGTTCCTAACCATAAACAATGTGATTATGTAGTACTCAAGACATGAGGATTATGAAAAAGTATGAGAATATAACCAGTAAGTGTTGTGACTTTGTCATGCATAATGTATTACAAGATATGTTATAATGCACTAAGGTTTCCTTTCCCCTCCCTCCTTAACCCATGAATAGTGTTCTGGACACATCTAATACTTGTTGTAAGGAAGGGAGCTGCTCTATAGTATGAGATAATTGGAATTAATTACATGAGTAAATGGGTGAAAATAAATAAGAGGTCCCACTGGGTAATCTAGCAGTTTCTGCTCACTCTAGATCTGAAGAACAGCTCCTGGAAACAGTTTTAGATACGCAGCAGCTCTGGCTGCTCTTCAGTGGTTTAGGTATGAAGAAAGCTATCAAAATAAAGCTAGTCATTTGCTACAGTTTGGCTTTAATTTTTATACTTCGTTAATTCTAAGCACATCTCTGAAGCTCGGTTCAGATGGAATTCAAAGCAGCATCATTCGTATAGATAGGAAAGCATCACGAAGACTTGGGTCCCATCAGACCTGCTGGTGAGGTGGTGCCTCTAGTTTCAAGAGGGAACCTCAGAGGTGCTTAGTTACAGTACGGCTGTGCTCAGCACAAACTTATTTTAAAAATCTCACAAGAAAAGTATATCACCGTGTATAACGCTACAACAAGAAATAGAAAAGACTGATTTCCCAGGTGCTTCCTCCCATTATAACACTCGCAGAGGAACTCCAGGGAAGAAAGCTCCTGGACTGACATTGCTAAGTGCTTGCTGATAGCGTGGGAAGACAGCATGACACAACAGGTAAGAGCACAAGCTTTGCCCCTGGGAGCAAGCACAAATCCTGCCTCAGTTCAGTGATCTAAAGAGGAATTTTAGGTGGTGCTCACTGAGATGCCTCAGACCATATCACAATTCAGTCCTTGTTAGCAACAGGCTTGAACAAAGGGACTGGGGTGCACGGGCAAAGCTAGGCCTGGTGCAAGGAGAAACTCTGGATTCTTCATTTACTTGCATTTAAAAACTATTGACTTTGTCAGTGAAAACTGCTTTTGCAACAACTTAGAGGAAGTAGAATATTTAGGACTGGTCACTCATTTTAGACTGTGTAGAGTTACATGTTCTTGAAGGGAACAACATTTTTGTTCCAAATGAAGCACCCTAATTTCACTTCCCAACCCGCTTCGTGAAGCCCTTTAAAGGGACCAGGGTCCCTGTCGGATTCTGCCAGTTTCCCCTCGCCTCACAGAACCGAAGTGTCTTGCTGAACTTGTCCCAAGCCCCTTGACAAGAGGTGTAAGACTGGCTGCTCTGGTAGCCACTGCTTCAAGATGCCCTGGTCTGACAGACATAGCAATTTCCCCTATCCTGTTACAATTAAAGAAAGGGAATCTAGTTATAATACCATACAGCTTCACAACGATGCTTAGCCAGAGCTGTAGCTGTGATTCATGCTATTGATTAAATATACTGACTCAGCTCTGCCAAGTCAATGCGCTAAGTGGACAAGCAAGACATTCTCTCCTCGGATAAATATCTGGTTTATGTGGCGTGTGAACACCTGCTGATAATCCACCTTGGGCCTCTTTTTTTTCCGGGGCTGGCTTCTTGCTGTGGTAGCTCCTGCACCAGTGCCCTCTGGCTGGGCAGTCCTGCCTGGCAAGTCAGCCTCGTTTCTGACTGCCAGAGGCAAGCTGTCGCCTGCCATCTTCTTTTCTCCACCTCTGCCCACGTGTTTCTGTGTCTCACGCTCCTCTTCTGCTCTCCCCCATCCTGACCCAACTTTCCGTCTGAGCGGCTGGGGTCCACTTGTTGTGGCTGTCTCCTCTGGCTCAGTCTTTGTATCAGCTCCCTTCTTTTCAGAGGACTCCCGTAGTTTGAGCCTGTCAAACAGCTGTAAGGGAACACTCAGTTAAGTGGCCACATTCAGAGAAACGGGCTTCTCATTCTCCACACTCAAGTCAAATTTTGAGCATGTAAGCCAACAATCAGCATACGTAATAATATATGACTGCTGAACAGCTCTTTTTCCTACTGCAGTCACGATTTTGACATATCATGACTACAGAAAGCAACTATTTTTGTGGGCGATGTCTTTTATTAGACCAAATATATCAAATAGACTTAGGCAGGCTTAGAAATGAATCTGACAATGCAACAGCGCTGAAACTGGAAGAGAAACTCCATTTTATGTCAGTACTTTGGGATCTGTGCAACACTGACGCATTAAACAGACAGCAGACTGACAAGTCAATTCCAAATAGATGGAAAACCTATCCTAGTATGGACTCGACCCCTTGGCTCCAGTTTTGTCCCTGTTGATAAACATCCTCTCATGCAGTTTGGGAAAACCACGAGCATGCAGGCTCCTACTCCAGAGCGATGCACAGGAGTGATGGTTTCATGACACTGCAGGAGACAGGAAGTCAAAGTGACATCAATATCTAATGCCAATTAGGCTGTTTTTAAAAGTGCCATCAGCAGCGCAAACTGAACTTGAAAAATATGGCAAAAAAGCATTTTTGCTTCTCTGAGTTTTTCCCATTCCAGTAAAATCTGGAGTAGGTACATTTCAGACATAACCAGGACTTTCAGGTTGATGCTACATATTTCACCACAATGAAAAGTAAGGTATACAAGGCCAGTTAGCATGCAGGCAGAAGGCTACCTACCCTGGTAAGTGTGAGCTGGGGCTCATTGTAGAATGCCTTCCCCAGTACAGGTTTTCTATACGTTTCATCTACATCTGTTAAGGCCTGAAAGATAAAAAAGGAAAGTTAAAAAAGGAAAGATAAAAGAGGAAAACAGCTTTCTAAACCATAATACAAAGCTCTCTCATCTCACGGACGATCCATTTGAAGGACATGCCATGTTCTGGAGTAGATTTCCAAATATCCAAAACACACTTGTTATACTGAGGTACACAAACAGGGGAGCCACAGAGCCTAGTGGACATTTCTACTCCTACAGCCTAAATCTCCCTCTTCTCTTCAGGCATAAACCTATTTTTAATACCCCCAAGATGACATTGAGTATTCCCACCCTGTTTCTAAACTTCTCTCTCACTTGGGGATCGCAGTCCTGTAAGACCTCACTCTATTCAGTCTCTTTTTTTTTTTTTTGGAAATCTTGGGGGGAGCTTCCCTTACCCTGTTCTGGTTTTGTGGCTGATACCTACGAGAGGAAACTGGAGGGAAGAAGGATTAACAGAGCTTGAATGTCATCAGTGATTTACTTCTCCCCAAAACTGTACGCAACATCCAGAAATATCAAACTACACTGCAGCCACTGCACTTGTTGCTCTCTCTCAGCATCTCCCAGTGGCCAGCGAGGCTACAGCACTCGGTGTAACAACACTTTACCTTGTATCTCATGACTAATA